GAATAGTTTAGGTTAGATGGGCTTCAGATTGGTTTCACAGGTCGGCGCAACATCGAGGGCCGAAGGGCCTGTACTGCGCTGTAATGTTCTATGTTCTATGTTCTATGTTCTAGTAATTGTTCACTCTACCTGGACCCTAATTTCTGAATTCCTTGTACAAGATCAACTAATTCTCTCTGAATATCAACATTTACAAGTTTCACAACTTTTGAAAAATATTCTACCCTTCTATTCTTGAGACCAAAGTGACTAACTTCACACTGTCCTATATTACTCCATCTGCCACCTCGTTACACATTCACTTTGCCTATTTATATCTCTTTGAAACATCTCTGTGTCCTCCTCACAGCTTACATTTTCATCTGACCAGCATCATCAGTGAATTGAGATATATACTGGGGGAGGCAATGGCCTCGTGGTATTATCTCTGGACTGTTAATCCAAAATCCAAGATAACATTCTGGGTTCAAATTCTGCTACGGCAGATGGTGGAATTTGAACTCAATAAAAAATATTTGGAATTAGGAGTCTAGTGATGACCATGAATCCATCGCCAATTGTCAGAAAAATCCATCTGATTTACTAATGTCCTTTAGGAAAGGAAACTGCCATCTTTATCTGGTCTGGACTAGATGTGACTCCAGACCCACAACAATGTTACTCAACTTCCCTCTGGGCAATTAGGAATGGGTAATAAATGCTGCCTAAAAGCGATGCCCTTATCCTGTAAATGAATTTAAAAAATTACTCTCTCTTTATCCGAGTTATTGATATCAATGGCATATATCTGAGGCTCCAGCACTAATCCTAATGGGGCCCATTAATTCTAGCCTGTGAACCTCAAAATGCCCCATTTATCCCTTCTCTATACTCCCTTAACCAATCTTCTATCCATTATAATTTCTAACCATCAACGTGAAGCCTTATCTTGCCTATCTCCCTTCCAAACAGTATGGTGATTCAGTTACACCATGTGGACTCCAGTGGCTTGAAACATTCAGAGGTATGTAATGGATCTGAAATTTACCTCCAATGCCCTATATTCCACAAAATAATTTTAAAAACTGGAATGAAGACACAGTGGCTATTGGATGTGGAAGGGGCAGACACTGCAAGATTCTGGATTGAGAATGGGATCAACTTTGTCAATGTTAGTTGGCTATGCTTCCTATAGAGTGAACCATAATGAAACCACTGCATTGAGAAAGACAGTAGGACATACCTTCAGGAGGAGTTCCACCACCTCTGTGTGAACAAGTCCCAGGACAGATTCTCCATTGATATGTGTGATCAGGTCACCAGCACTCAATCCTGCCTCATGAGCTGGGCCTCCTTCTTCTACACTCTGTAACAAAGGAAAAACAAGGGCTGGATACCAACAGAAAAGCTGTTAACATTTACTGCTGGCTCCTACACTCTATGTTCAACGTCTTGCTCAATCATCACAAAACTAAAGGCTCAGGACTTGAGTATTTTCTCCAGTTGAGTGCTGCAAGATTCCTTATCTGCTCCTTCATTCTGTGTAGTGCCGTCTGATTTCACTCAATACATTCAAAACTCTAATCCCCACATTGATTCTGTGCCAGAATCAAAGACTGAATTACATGTACTGCTCTGCCATTGACCACTTTCTCTGTTAACTTTACAAAAAAACTCAATAAGTTTAGTCAAATAAGATTTTTTCTTTTGAAACTCATTCCGACAATTCATGATTTTGTTTCTAATTTCTGAATATTTTTCTATGCTTCCCTTCCATAGAGATTGCATTATTCTTCCTACCACTGATGCTAAACGTTCTGCTTTATAATTCCCTGGATATATCCTGAACTCTTCATTAAATATAGAAATTATATTAGTTATCTGCCAGTCATCAGACATTGCGCCATTCTCTAACAACTTCCAGGAGGACTATAATAAACATTATTTGCTGAATGGGCAAATTAAGTTAAACACAGATAAATACAAGGTGGTGTTCTTTGGTAGGGAGAATAAGGTGGTTTTTTATCACTTGGAAGATGCAAATCTGAGTGGAATAGATGAACAAAAGGATCTCAGATCTTGATCAATGTCTGATGTAATCCTATTGACTGTGGGCCTGGCCATTGCTGTCTAGAGACTTCTCAGAGGCAATGGAGTGCTGAAAAAGGATAGTTACTCTGGAGCCTGCTACATTTCACAAAGTGTTGGTGGTACACCACAAGATGTAGCAAAATACCACAGAGGTAGAAATAGAATCTTAATATACTACATAAATGGTGCTATATTATGCTATGCTATGCTATGGCCAATGGCAAAATAGCACAGCGGTGGAAGAGGATACCAAGCCGTAATACTGCCCCCTGACATCTTGCTGCCTTTCCCGCCTCTCGGCCTATCATCAAGGGCTGGCAAACTTCCAGCCAATATCTCCTGGCCCGGACCTGAATTAACTCAGGTCTTACCCAAACCATATGGTGCACAGTATATACGTCGCTGTCCCCCACATAAACTCGAATTGCTCGCAACGTGAATCCAAATTTTTTTCCAGAACTGTGAATAATTATTGGAGTTCGCAGACTTGTGATGTTCGATGAGTGATCACGACTTGGTGAGGAGTCTCGAGATGAGGTGTTCGATGAAAATGATCTTGGAGACACAGGACCAACCAGTGGAACAGAAGCAAACCCATCTGAAAAAAAGACAGTATCCATTTGTCACGATGAGTCCAGTGATTAAACAATTGTTTGAAAGAAAACTCTGCTTCAGTTAACTACTTGAACCATGACTTTCTCTGCCACATAATGCAAGAGGACTGCGCAACTAGAGAATATCAGGCTCGAGGGCATGTGGGAGTAAGTTTATTGAAAAAGTGAAAGTAAAGATGAAAGTTATAAGTTTAAAGCAGTGGATACTGGGAGCCAAAAGGAGATGATGAAATTCAGAGTTGCAAGCAGCCACCTTCAGAGTCTCTGCTCCTAATGGTCCCTCTGCAACCTGTATTCCTGTAAGTAAACGAGTGGCAGCAGCTGGGGTTTCTACTCAGTTTCTTTTCTCAGTCATTTGGAGGCAAATCAATAAAACATGCGACAGTTACTCTAATTAAGTGACAATTACTCTACTTAAGTGAGAATTACTGTAATTAAGCAACAATTACTCTGAGAATCTGTCCCATATCCAGTTACTGTCCCACTTACCAGGTGAGATAGTAAGTGAGAGGGCGCTGACTGATGCAGACTTGGGCACTGTACTTGCAGTGGCCAACCAACTCTCCTCTGTCATTTCAAGCTGACCCTTGATTTTGTGAGGTGTTATAGGACACAGTCCTTTCGGAGTGGAGCTTCTGTGCCCCATGCTGTTGCTACGTATGCGTATGCGATTAATACTGTTGGTAAGAACATCTGGAAAACACAAAGTCCAACGACAAGTCAAACTGAGACTTTCAGGCTCCCAGTAAAATGATTTCCAACAGACCAAGAGCAGCTAAAATGATCTATTAAAATAAAATCGTATCGCTGTGTGACAACTGATCCACCCCAGTTCCATATGATTCTGCAATTTGGGTCTTATCAATGTGAGAACTGATCAAACAATCAAGTTTTCAAACATCGCTTAACTTAAGGTGAACTGAATTAACAGAAGATTCCGAATGGGAGATGTTGTGATCATACTATCTTGTTCACAAACCTAAGCTATTCAGCTACCTAGCCAGCAATCACATAGCTGTTAGCAGGCATAAGGTGGTTGTCCTTGATAACAGGGCACTAGTTCACAGACTAATCAGCTACTTGCTGCCAGCTGAATCTTCATTTGTACATTGCTGTTGGCTCCAGCGTGTCTGCAAACAATATACTACTGTTAGAACCAGCAACTATGTAAACAGTACTTATAACGAATGTCAGGTTACTTGCTTCCAAAGACTGCAGTAAACCTTCAACAATCTTTGGTTGTTAAAACAGATCTTTTCCCATTTCAGTCCACAATCAAAAACACAAAACAAAACAAAGAGGCAAGTCTTTACAAAACAAGATTATGTATTTCATGTTGCCATATGGTAGAGGGCAGAGGAACTCACTATTGAGAATGGGTTACAGGCTTTCTTGTAAATCCATGGGTATCACAGACAAAGTTTGTTTAGGGTGATCTCCAGCCATCTGGGAAACAGATAGGAGATAGAGACATCCAATCCTGCACCTGAAGCAGGGAAAAAACAACTCCATTTGCAACTTGCAAAACCTGGATTGAAGACACTCAGCTTGTGAGGACTTAAAGAAGGTTGGAAGTTTTGTCTAGCTTGGGCTGGAAGGAAGGAACCAGCAGCATAATGTTCAGAGTGAAAGTTAGATTGGGAATTAGAAGTCAGCCAGTTGGGAAAGTAAAAAGCTAAGCCTTTGTGAGTTGAGAATTATTGTATATTGGCTTCCTGAGGATGAAATTCTAATTAAGGGGCAGAGTGACATATAACCATCTGACAGATCTTTGGTCAAGTATAAGGAAACTACAAAAAAGAAAATTCTGAGGAAGGGTCACTCGACCCAAAACGTTATCTCTGATTTCTCTTCACAGGTGCTGCCAGACCTGCTGAGCTTTTCCAGCAGTTTCTGTTTATTTTTCTATAAAAAGGAATTAGTGTTTGATCAATGCTCTTTTTATGTCATTTGTTACAGTGAATGTATTAGTGAATCTTGGCTTTTCCTTTTCTTAAGCAATTATTTAAAAATTTGAATTACTTTTTGAAAAAGTTATCAGTCTTCCATAGCATCCCTACAGTATGGAAACAGGCCATTGAGCCCCACAAGTACATACTGACCCTCCGAAGAGCATCCCACCCAGACTTACCCCCTACTCTGTAACCCTGCATTTCCCATGGCTAATGCACCTAACCTACACATCTCTAGACAGAATGGGCAACTTAGCATGGCCAATCCACCTAACCTACATATCCCTGGACTGTGGGAGCAAGCCAGAACACCCAATAGACACCCGCACAGACATAGGGAGAATGTGCAAACTCCACACAAACAGTCACCCAAGGGTGGAATTGAACCTGGCTCCCTGGCACTGTGAGGCAGCAATGCTAACCACTGAGCCACCATGCCGTCCTCCTGGGGGCTATAATGTAGTAGAAGGTGCTCTTATAGCTACAGTATTTATATGGTGAGTCCAGTTCGGTTCATGGTCAATAGTAATCCTAGGATATTGATAGTGGAGGATTCAGTGATGGTAACATCTTTAAATGTCAAGGGGAAATGGTTAGGTTCCCTTTTGTGAGAGATGGTCAATGTTTGACATTTGTGTGGTACAAATGTCACTTCATGCAACACAACATGACTGGCTGAGCTGCAACCTAACCCCACATGTTTACATTTTTCCAATATTCTTTAATGACTTTGGTTAATAGAACCATAGAAAATAGGAGCAGGAGTGGGCCATTCAGTACTCTAACCATGCTCCACTATTCATTATGACCATAGCTAATCATATAACTCAATAGCCTGTTTCTGCTTGCACTCACATACATAAAGGTCCTCTTGCTGGCAGTGGTAATGTCCTTTCCCCTGAACTTGGAGGCCCAGGTTCAAGTCCCACCTGATCCAGAGGTGTGTAATAACATCTCTGAACAGGCTGATTAGAACACTAGGTTAATTAAAAGAAAAATTAATCCTAACCACCTCAACTTTTCCTCATATGTCAGTTGCGCCATCCCAGAAATCAGTCTGGTAAACTTTCATCCCACTCCCTCTATAGCCAGAATATCCTTCCTCAGATAAGGAAACGAAAACTGCACACAATACTCCAGGTGCCATCTCATCAAGGCCCTGTATAATTGCAGCAAGACACCTCTACTCCTCTAATTGAATCCTCTCACTACAAAGGCCAACACACCACTTGCCTCCTTTACCACTTGATGCACCTGCATGCTTACCTTCAGTGACTGTTGTACAAGGACACCCAGGCCTTTTTGGACATTCCCCTCATAATTTATAGCCTAGCACTGACCCCTGAGGTACCCACTAATCACTGTCTACAATTCAGACAACCCATTTATTCCCACACTTTGTCTCCTGCCTGGTAACCAGTTTTCTATCTCAAACCCATGCACCTCAACTTTACATGCACATCTCGTGTGTGGCATTTATCAAAAGAGTTCTGGAAGTCCAACTAAACCACATCCACCAGAACTCCTTCATCAAACCTATGAGCTACATCCTTGAAGATTCCAGTAGATTTATCAAGCATGATAAATCCATGCTGATTCTGTCCAATCCTGTCACAGTTTCCCAAGTGCTCTGCTATTAAAGCTTTTATAATGGATTCTAGCATCTTCCGCACTACCGACATCAGGTTGACTGGTCTATAATTTCTGGGTTTCGCTTGCCTTCCTTCTTATGGAAAAATGAAAAAATAGGGTTATTGTGGTGGGTGATTTTAACTTCTCCTACATTGACTGGGACTCCCTTGGTGCCAGTGGGTTGATGGGGATAATTTGTTAAGCCCATCCAGGAGAGTTTCTTGAAGCAATCTGAAAACAGTCCAAATAGGGAAGGGGCCATACTAGACTTGGTATTGGGGAATGAGCCCAGATGGTAATGGAAGTTTCAGTGAGGGAAAATTTTGGGAACAGTGATCATAATTCAAGAAGTTTTAAGTTACATATGGATAAGAATGATAATAGTCCTCAAGTGAAAATACGGAATTGGGGAAGGCTAACTACTACAATATTAGGCAGGAACTGAGGAATGCAGATTGGGGACAGCTGTTTGAGGGCAAATCCACATCTGGAAAGTGGGAACCTTTTAAAGGCCAGTTGATTTGAGCTCAGGACCAGCATGTTGCTGTGAAAATTAAGGATAAAGATGGCAAGATTCTGAAACTTTGGATGACAAGAGAAATTGTGAGTTTAGTCAAGAAGAAAAAGGAGGCATATGTAAGGTTTAGGAAATCGAAGGCAGTCAGAATCCTTGAAGAATATAAGAAAAGCAGGAAATAAATTAAACAAGGAGTTTTGAGGGCTAAAAGGGGCCATGAAATGTCTTTGGCAAACAGGATTAAGGAAAAAACTTTTATACGTTTTATACATGTGTAAGGAGCAAGAGAGTAGCTCGGGAAAGGATATGTCGACTCAATGACAATGGAGGGAATTTATGCATGGAACCAGACGAAATGAAATACATGACATCAGTATTCACGAGGGAAAAGGACATGAGAGATGGTGAGTTTCAGAAGGGGTATATTGATATTCTACGATATGTCGATGGTACAAAGGAGGAGGTGTTAGGCGTTTTGAAAAGCATTAAGATAGACAAGTCCTAAGACCTAATGGAATCTATCACAGAGTAGAAGGAGGTAAGGGAGGAAATTTATGGGGCCTTATATAAAATCTATATAAAAATTATTTTCTGAAACCTGAAATTAGTGGGACTCAAAGATAGGGACTCTACCACAGCACCACAGGAAGGAAATCTTTGTATCCCCTTTAGTCATAGGTGAGGTCCAAGAGGACTGGAGAATAGTCAGAGAGAGAATAGACAGAGAGACCTAAGAGTTCAGGTACATAATTCTTTGAAGTTTGTGTCACATGTAGACAGGATGGTTAAGAAAGCATTTAGCATGCTGGCTTTCATTGCTCAGACCTTTGAGTATAGGAGTTAGGACATCATGTTGAGGTTATACAGGACTTTGGTGAGGCCTCTTCTGGAGTACTGTGTCTAGTTCTGGTCACCCTACTATAGAAAGGATATTATTAAACTAGAGAGGGTTCAGAAAAGATTTACCAGGATGTTGCTGGGAATGGAGGGTTTGAGTTATAAGGAGAGGCTGGATAGGCTGGGACTTTTTTCACTGGAGCACAGGAGGTTGAGGGGTGACCTTGTAGAGATTTATAAAATCATGAGCGTTATAGATAAGGTGAAAGGCAGGTGTCTTTTCCCTAGAGTGGGGGTTTCAAGACTAGATAGCTTATTTTTAAGGTGAGAGGAGAAAGATTTTAAAAAGACATAAGGGCAATTATTTACACCAGGTGTAAATATTTACGCAGGGTGTTCATGTGTGGAATGAGCTTCCAGAGGAAGTGGTAGGTGCAGGTACAGTTACAACTTTTAAAAGACATTTGGATAAGTACACAAATAAAAAATGTTTGAAGGGATTTGGGCCAAGAGCAGGCAGGTGGGACTAGTTTAGTTTGGGATTATGGTCATCATGGGCTGGTTGGGCTGAAGTGTCTGTTTCTGTGCTGCATGACTCTATGACTCTATTATTTGTCACATTATTTTTAACAATGTCCCTGCTTGGACCTTGATTTCTCTGCCTTTCACTTTACTTAGTCCCCTTTCTGTCTTGTGTTCTAGAACATAAAACATAGAACAGTACAGCACAGTGCAGGCCCTTCGGTCCATGATGTTCTGCCATCCTATTATCCCACTAAGATCAAACTACCCTGCATACCCTACATTTTACTATCCTCCATGTGCCTATCCAAAAGTCGCTTAAAAGTCTCTAAAGTATCTGACTCCACTACCACTGCTGGCATTCCACACGCCCACCACTCTCTGTGTGAAGAACCTACCTCTGACATCTCCCCTATACCTTCCTCCAATCAGCTTAAAATTATGCCCCCTCGTAATAGTCATTTCCGCCCTGGGAAAAAGTCTCTGACTATCCACTCTATCTATGTCTCTCATCATCTTGTACACCTGTATCAAGTCACCTCTTATCCTTCTTCGCTCCAATGAAAAAAGCCCTAGCTCCCTCAAACTTTCCTCATAAGACCTGCCCTCCAGTCCAGGCAGCATCCTGGTAAATCTCCTCTGCACCCTCTCTAAAGTTTCCACATCTTTCCTGCAATGAGGTGACCAGAACTGAACACAATATTCCAAATGTGGTCTAACCAGAGTTTTACAGAGCTGCAGAATAACCTCGTGGCTCTTGAACTCAATTCCCCTGCCAATGAAAGCCAACACATCATACGCCTTCTTTACAACCCTGTCAACTTGGGTCGCAACTTTGAGGGATCTATGGACATGGACCCCAAGATCCCGCTGTTCCTCCACACTGCCAAGAATCCTGCCATTAACCCTGTATTCTGCATTCAAATTCGACCTTCCAAAATGAATCACTTCACACTTTTAGTCTCTTCCTGGATTTCCCTTACTCTGACTCCATGCATAGATACCCATGCCCCTGCCACTTTAGGTTGAACCCTTCCTAAATACTCTAGCAAATACTCCCCTCGGACACCTGCCTACGTATAACGCATCCAGTTTGTACTGGTCCCAGCTCCCCCAGAAATGGTCCCAGAGCCCTAGGAATCTGAAACCCTCTCCTTGCACACTCTCTCCAGCCATGAGCTCCTCTGACATATCCTGCTGTTTCTACTTTGACTAGGAGATGGCACTGGTAATAATCTTGAGATCACTATCTTTGAAGTCGTACTTTTCAGCTAGCATCCTAACACCCTATATTTGGCTTTTAGGACCTCATCATTTTTTATTACCTATGCCATTGGTACCAATGTCTACCACAACCACTGACCTTTCCCTTCAAATTATCCTCTAGCTGCACCAAGATGTCCTTCACTCTATCACCAGAGAGGCAACATACCATCCCGATGCAGCTACAGAAATGCCTGGTTATTCCCTTACAATTAATCCCCTATCAATTTTGTATTCCCATATTTTTCACTTCTCCCCATGCAGCAGAGCCAACTATGGTTCAACAAATTTGACTGTTCCTGCTTTTCCTTGAGAGGCCATTCCCTTCAACAGTATCCAAAGCAGTTTTGCAGGGTAATAGCCATAGAAGACTCCAGCACCGCCTGCTTAGTCTTCTTTTCCTGCCTGTTAGTAACTCATACCTTTCTGCCCATGCAGCCTTAGCCTGCAGTGTGACCACCTGTTTATATGCACTCTCCACAACACGCTCTCTCTTACGGATGCTCTACTGTGTCTCCAGCCACTGCTGCTTCTCCGAATCCCTGCGTTTCCAGGAGACACAGCTGGAGACACTTCCTGCGCACTGGAAATACCCTAGGCACTAAAAATGTTTCTAGTTTCTCACAAAGATCAAACCACAGTTTTGAGCTCTCTTTCCATGACATACTCCTTTCAAATTAAACCTTTTGGGAGATGCTGAATATAAAATAATATCAATTACTGTAGGGCCCTTATTCCCTCATCCTTGTTACAATAGAATTTAATCCTACAAACTATAAGCTACAAGAAAAACAGCAAAAAGAACCTCTTCCCCTCTACACTGAATTCCCATTGCACTCCAAATTCCCAGAAACACACACACAGTGTCTTGCCCAGGATGTGCTCTTTCCCGAGAGCTCATGCAAATCTGTCTGATCTCTAATGTTAATATATCAATTTCACATTTAAAATTAACAATTGATTCAGAATCAATTACTAATTGAGAAAAAGGTAGTGTGAGACTCATTGGTGCAAATTTTATTGAATGACAAGGGATGATATTTAGATTCTGTCTTATTGGAGATGGTTATTGCTTAGCATTTGTGTGGATGAATGTTACCCAAAAATTTTCAGTCTAAGTCAGAAAAGCTCTGAAGAAAGGTCCCAACCCGAAACGTCAACTTTCCTGCTCCTGTGATGCTCTCTGGCCTGCTGTGTTCCTCCAGCTCCACACTGCGTCATCTCTAACTCTAGCACCTGCAGTTCTTACTATTTCATTGTCCAGATCTTGTTGCATTTAGGCATGGTTCTGCTTCAGTATCTGAGGAGCCACGTATTATGCTGAACATTGTTCAATCATCAGCAAACATCCCCAGTTCTGATGTTATGATAGAGGGAAGGTCATTGATGAAGCAGCTGAAGATGTTAGGGCCTAGGACAGTCCACTGAAGAATTCCTGCAGAGATATCTTGGAGCTGATACGATTAGAGGTTTTTGTTATTTGTCACTAACTAATCATTATTTATTTATGTGTGCTTGCTGTGTACTAATTGGCTACATTTTAAAATCATTTTTGATAAGTCTACATAGAGGGTGTCAAAGGTGCTGTACAAATAGAGATCATTATTTCTCTCATACACAGGGCTGCTGATCCACCCAACAAAGCCCATCCACAAACATAGTGCAATCCCCTCCCTAACACAATCTCTCCCTTGACTCAGTGAATAACCTTACCCAAACCCTGAGAAACCTTTCCCTCCACCCAAGTACAGTTCCACTCAGCCCCTGTTCAGTGAATCATTCTTTCCCTCCTCTCCCCACCCGTCTCCACTGGATCCCTCCCCTCACCCCGAACCCACCCCATCCAACCTCAGAAGATTCTCACCTGAGAATGTTCGAGCTCTGGTTCTGCTTGACTCTGTTTGCAATCCTTGCCTCTCTGGCTGCAATGCTTGTTGGGTCAGTGCTGAGATCTCACTCTCATCCTCGTTGGAGAATGCAAACCAGGGTATGGTGTCCGAGCTGGAAACACAGTGAGTGGCACTGACACCTTTGTCAAAGTGGGAGCATGCTGAGGAGGCTCGGGGTCTCAGGCTATTCAATAAAAAATGTGATGGTTACGTTTCATGCAGCTATAAACAAGCAGCTCTTACAAAAGCCTCCGACATTCGAATCATGAAATTATCATGGAACTGCAGGGTCAGTCAGACCACCTTCTCTGTGCTGTCTCTGTGCATGTTAAAATGTTCCCTGACTCCTGAAATGCTTGTCTCTAATTTTTATACAATTCTATGCAGCTAACTTCTTTATTAACCCTATCAGTTATATTGAAAAATTTGCTTAAATCTCCCCTGGAGCTTCTCACTTCTAGGGATGTTAAATCTCATTCATTTAATCTTTCTCCTCAATGCCTTGGTATCATTCAGACCTTGACCTAGGCCAATTATAAGGTGAAGACGGGCTCTCCACGCCCCAGTGTAAATTTTAATTTGAGACAACGGCCCTCTAATTAATACAAGTCTGTTTCTAGGAGGAACAGCTACCTCACAGAGTGACTAGCCAAACAGAGTATGTGCAACCCCAGAGGTGGATTGCAGGAGGTTCCAGGATAAACAGGAACCATAAATGTCCCCAATCCAAGGCAAGTCCTGGATGTCACCAGGGTCAAGCGGAAGGCTTGCTGGTCTGGACGCGGTGAACTTGGCAAAGATAAACCCTGGGAAAGTCCTCAACTCAAACTGAAAACCCAGGAATGAGGCGTCCCCTCGTTCACTGAGCAATAGCCACAAAGTTAAACCCACTGGGCTCCCCATTGGACCTCTCCCACTCCCAGTTGTATCACAGCAGTAGGAGAGGGCTCTTATGGTAGTGTCCCTACCTCTGAGCCTGGAGGTACAGGTTCAAACCCACCTGATCCAGAGGTGTGTCATGACATCTCTAAACAACCTACCTCTGCGTCTACATTCTATGATCGAAATGAAGTCACTGTTGAAGCACTCTGCTGCCCCCTATTGTCTTGTTGTGTTTTAGAATTCTCTGACATGGCTTGTCCTTGTGTCTTTTGGCAGTGGAACACTCCAAAATTCCGTAGTACATTTTTATGCAGCAGAGCTTCTGTACTTCCCTGATGACAGTGCAAAGGAGCTCAATCCTTTCTTCAAGTGCGAGTGCATATGGAGCACTGCTTCTCCATGCTGTTTGTATAACTGAGTTCTGTTGCTACTCCTAGAATCCTCTCTAGTACTGGAGCACCCTTCAATGGCCCAGGTCAGTATACAATGGACTCTCTAAAGACCCTTACTGTCTGTACAATGACAATCTCTGTCATCACCGAGGTTCTGTGTCTAATGGAGATCTCGATCTTCTCTATGCCTGTACGATGCCAATGGTTGCCACCTCCTCCACACCATGTGTGTAATGGAGCTTCCTGCCACGAAGATTCAACTAATAGTGGGCAAAATCACCCTGAAACCTGCCCTGACAAGCAATAGCATTTTCCTAATCTGTCACAGTAATGACACTCACTACCTGCTGTCGCGTTTGTGGATAGTGGACTCTCTCTGCCTCCACCTAAATTAATAAGTTCGCGCTGGATGTGTACCATTTACATTTAGAGCCTTTGAACCTGAATCAGAGGCAGTTTTCCTCCCCTGCTAGCTCTCAGCAGCTGACTGTTGGATGAAACTTCGAGGTGTTTGAGTGGGCAGCGTGATCCCACTCCCTGCTGATTGGAGTTGGGGCAATGGTTATAAGATCTTATCATCTAAACCACAGCCATAGAGTCACATAGATAGTGACCAAAACCAAACACAATACTCCAAGTCCTGTACAACTGCAATATAATTTCCCAACTTCTGTACTCAGTGCCCTGACTGATGAAGGCCAGTGTGCCAAAAGCTTTCTTCACTGCCCTGTCTACCTGTGACTCCAGTTTCAGAGAACTGTGCACCTGAACTCCAAGGTCCCTCTGTTCCACTATACTCCTTAAGGCACTACCATTCACCATGAAACTCCTACCTCGATTTGACTTCCCAAAATGCAACACCTCATAATTATCTATATCAAACTCCATTTGCCATTTCTGAGCCCACTTCCCCAGCTGATCATGATCAAGCTGCAATTTCTGATAACCTTCCTCACTGTCCACGATACCTCTATTTTAGTGTCATCTGCAAACTTATTAATCATGCCTTTTACATTCTCATCCAAATTATTGATATAGATAACAAACAGCAATGGGCCCAGCACCAACCCCTGGGGCACACCGCTAGTGACAGGCCTCCAACCCAACAAGCATCCTTCCATTATTACTCCCTGCTTCCTACCATTCAGCCAACTGTGTATCCAATTTGCCAGCTCTCCCTGGATTCCATGCAAATCTCGGTTTGGATATTTGACCAGAAAACAGTACAACACTGAACCAAACAATTCAGGAGAGTCAGCAGCTTCTTTCTTACCCAGGGCTTGTGTTCAGTGAGTGCTTTGGACTGTGTTGCTCTCCTCGTTCCTCACTCTGGCTGCATTCCGCTGATGAAGGGCTCAGGCTGGAAGGAGATGCCAGATGCTCAGAACTACTATAAACCTGGAACATGATGGAGAAATAAAAATACAACTTATGAAAATTAAACCACTGGAATTAGAATTATACTAAATCTTAAGATTTGTGCTGCCACTGAATTTTATGGAATACGAAATATGGTAACAATTAAAGCCTTGTAAGCAATGGAATAATCCATACTTTCTCCACTGGCTGGGTGAGGTTTTGGCCAATAATGGGAGGAAAACTTGTGTTGGCAAATAATATTATTGCCCACCAGAACCCCCAAAGGAACATCTCATATCATTAAAGACTTTATCAGAGACAGTAAGAACTGCTGATGCTGGAGTCTGAGATAACACAGTGTGGAGCTGGAGGAACACAGCAGGCCAGGCAGCATCAGAGGAGCAGGAAAGCTGGCGTTTCGGGTTGGGACCTTTCTTCAGAAGTGGGCCCCGACCCGAAAAGTCAGCTTTCCTGCTCCTCTGATGTTGCCTGGCCTGCTGTGTTCCTCCAGCTCCACACAATGTTATCTCTGGCTCCAGCATCTGTAGTTCTTATATCTCTAGAAATAAATAGTTGATGTTGCTGAAAACTGGCACTGAAGCTCCCATCGGTTTCAACGTGGGCTGCTTGTCCCCATAACAAACAAATCATATGGGCCTGACTGCAGGCAGAGTTCAGTATTATTTCACCATCCCTAAACTAGGATACTCTGTTTTACCCGAAGTTGGAAGAAACAGTTTAAATAATCATTGTCTTATAAAGTATCACAGTGGTAATAGCATAAACAGGTTAATTATTTGCTTACTAACTTATACATGTAATTGATTTTCTTGCCATGAGTATCTTTATGCAGGAAAATTTACGACATGCGATTTTTGAAGAAGAGGGAGATGGGTTTCTAGAATTTGAAGGAATTTGCTGCAATTTCACGTAACACAGCTGTTACAGGAAAATCTTTCCAGGCATTTATTAAGGAAACGTGCTGAAAATCTTAGGAAGAGATAAAGCTATTACCTTATCCACCAGTCTGTTAAAAGGTAATAAAATGTAAATAAGATTCAGAAGTGCATTCAGGGACACATCTCAGTGTACTGAGTAAAAAAAAATCATCATTATGAATTTAAATTCCTGTGCTACCAAATTATTGTTTTGCATTTAGCTCTACTGCTACAGAATACAAATATAATTAATGAATACAGAAACTGTATATAAAGGTGAATTTGTACAAAGATTAAAAACGAATATGAAAAGTTAAGCAAATAATGTGAAAGGAAATTGTGTAGATTTTTATAAGCATATTAAAAATGAAAATAATTAAAGAGTAGTGGTACTTAGAGATGAGGTATGCATTCTGTTGTTGATGATACAAGTATGGCAGGAATATGTTAAATACTTTGTCAAATTACAAGAAGCTCAAAAGTATTATTGGGAGTCTTTGGTATAGAAGCTTAGGTGAAAAGGAAGACTGGGAATCGGGCAAAAGGAAACTGTACAATGGAGAGAAATCGAGAATTATTTCCTATTTTTCCTGTCCTTGGTTTCCCCTCTTTGGGTACTCTCAGGTGGCTTTCTGGATATTGGAACTTTACTCAACAGCAGGTATGGGAAACTACAAATAAATATTCTCAACTTTATGGACCTCAACATTTATAAGCAATTTGTAAAAGTCATATGATCTGATGTCGTTTGATTTTACTTCACGTGAACTGGTATCATATGTAGGGGATTTAAGGTGAGAGGGGAATACCTTAAAAGGGACTTTTTACCTTTTAAAAGGTACTAAGGGGCAACTTTTTCACACAGAGGGTGGTGCGTGTATGGAATGAACTGCCAAAGGAAGTGGTGGAGACTGGTACAATTACAATGCTTAAAAGGCATCTGGATGGGTAAATGAATAGGAAGCGTTTAGAGGAATATGGGCCAAATGCTGGCAAATCGGACTAGATTAATTGGGGTAGTTGGTCAGCATAGACAAGTTGGACAGAAGGGTCTGTTTCTGTGCTGTGTATCTCAACCACTTCATGTAGTCAGCATGTCACATGAGCAAATTTCCAGGAAATTTTCCAACAGTGTCAAACCTAACTCCATCAGCATACTAAGTACTTCCTTCTAACTTCTAAAGTGAGACTTGCTTTTTAGAATACATTTTATGACCCTGGCTTTCACAAAGTGCCTCACAGCTAATAAACTTTAGAACTGTAGTCACCGTTGTGGCATAGGGAAAATGATAAACAATTTGTTCCCACAAGCAGTAATGTGTTGTGACTGAATAATTTTTTTTACTGATATTATACATGACATATGGTGCTGCTCTTTTTTGAAAGAGTGCCACAGGATATGCTACGAAAGCCACATTGATTTAACATCTCATCAAGACAAAGAGCACCCCTGACAGTGCAATACTCCATCAGTATGGCAGTGGAATAGCAGCCTAAATTCTGTGCTTGGGTCTTTGGACTGGCAACAGCTCCAACACATGCAAGAGGGTTCCAGACCGGGGTCTGTCGAACATTA